CCTGGTGTCGGGCCACACTGTCTGGGGTTGGAAAACCCACGGGAGGTGTGAGGCCTGTTCCCACAGCGAGGTGTGAGCTTTCCAGCTGTGTTGGTTGTGTGTGGAGACTGGCAATGGGGCTCGGATGTTTACCAGCTTTATTTTGGTCTTGCTGCAAGTCTGCAAACCACTTCCCATGCGTGTGGGGTGTTTGTAGGTCAGTGTGCTCTGCAGTGTCTCTCTGAAACGCAGGTCCTGCTCCCTGTGATGGCTTTTGCCAGCCCAGATGGGCTTGTGCTTTTCAAAAGGGCTATTGTCCGGCCGCCCCGACCAGCACAGGCTCTGCCTGGCACCCGTGTCCCCCGAGGGAGGGGGGAGGGCTGGGGGAGCTCAGCACCACTCATCGGCATGCCACAGCCCCGCAGCTTCCCCGCGCGGTCTCCTGCATCTCTCAGGGACCGTGCAGGAGGTGCAGCCGCAGGAGGGATGTGCTGGGGATGGTTTGGGAGTGGGAGGGTAGAGGAGCTGTGCTTTGTCAGGGATTGCCTTTGCTCCAGGCTGCGAGTAGAGGGACAAGGCTGTGACCCCCCTGCAGCACACCTCTGCCCCAGGGAAACCACCAGCATCTCCCGAAAGGAGCACCCGGGGAGGGATGCGCTCGCCCCCTTGACCAGAATGGCGGTGGTTTGGTGCAGGATCCAGAGGAGGTGAAGGCCTGAACTGTAGCTGGGCCAAGAACTCCTCCAGTTTCCATCTGCTCTCTGAAAACCCACAGAGGAGCAGGGACAGAGTGAGCATCGGTGCTCATGAGCTTGGAAGACCGACCACACCACTGACACATGGAATGGGTGGCTTTTCCGAGACTCATTTATGAAGCAACAAAGTTATGGGTACAAGGAGCCTTACGCATACCTTTTCCATCGCTTGTAGTTTGACTGTGAGCCAACCACTTTATCCCATAAATATGACAGCCCAAGTGTGCCTTCTTGGAGCTCTCCCTGCTAGACAGCCTGCCTGCATGGTGGTGGTCTCCCCGTGAGCTGGGACACGTCTCAAGGCTGCTCCTCGAGGCGGAGAGAACTTTTACCAACAGCAGATCTTTGGTAAGTGACTAATACTGCATTGTAGTATGGTAACTTTGATTTGGAGAACTAAATCACCCATCCACCCACCCCACATTCCAGAGCTCGCATCTGCTTATGGGTTTATGGGCAGGAGGATCAAATGGCTATCAGGAGTGACAGGCACAGGATAATCTCCCTCTGTGTGCCCCAAGGTCCCTCTGATGGTGCAGAGGCTGGGATGGTGCAGCCCCCCCGGCGAGCTGTACCCCAGGGGAAGGCAGACAAGGCTTCCCATCAGCCTGGGGACAGCCCTCACCATCGCCAGCCAGCCAAGAACCCTACATCTCCCTACCCTGGGGGTATGTGCTGTGAGACCTGTGGCTCTTGGTGAGGGCAGGATTTCAGGGGGGCTTGAAAGAGTCCCAAAGCCTCTGGGCTAATCCTTGTCACCATCTATCCCAGGGAATGAAGACTCAGCACCCGCTGTGACATCCTTCCCTACCGTCTTCCTCTTTGAATAATTTTAGCTGACTTTTACTACCCTGCCTGCACCCAAACAAATCTCGTGCCCCAGTTTGGGTGAGGCTAAACTGATAAAAATTGCCTCATTTCCAGGAATAATAAAGGAAGCTTATGAGAGGTCAGCTTACAAACTAACTGCAGGAACTTTGTCAGCAGAGGGCTCTGGGATTTGACAGAGAAGCGAAAGCAGCGTACAGAAACAGAAAACTGGCAACTGAAACTGTCACGGGAGGGAGGGCAGTGAGGGTGACCTGCTCCAGGAGCAGCCTGGGAGCGTTCAGCTGGGGCTGCAAGTCCTCTGGCAGGGGGTCAGCAGCGCAGGGGAGAGGGTGGTGAGGGAGAGGTGCCCCCCCTTCCTTCCAGGACCTCAGCACTCCGCGGGAAACAACATCACAGCTATCAAAGGGCGGTTTTGTAAGCGCTAATGGGTTTGTGCCGATGACACGACCAAGCGACTGCAGCTGCAGCGGCTCCCTGCATCCCTCCTCCTCCAGCTCCATCAAATTCATCAGCAGCAAATGACGGCTCCTTGCCTTCCCCTGACTGTCTCAGGGCTTCCCGGTGGAGGACGAAGCTGCCGGATGCCGATCACATCCCGCCCCATCACACCTCCCCACCGCCCCTGGGTGCTCGGTGCAGCGAGGAAGACGGTGGCCCTGTGGCTTGCTCCTTGCCGGCCCCAGGCTGGAGAGCAGAAGCTGCGAAGTTCCCATGAGCGAAGCTGTCTCGGGGTGGTGTAAGCCACAAAGTTGTCTTTCTGCAGCCACAGCCGTTGTCACCCGGCGATGCAGCACCGGCAGCTGTCATTTCCCCGTGCTAGCATGGGATTTGCAAGCACAGAGGAACGTAAAACTCCCACTCGGGTTTCTGCATGATTTATTTCCATGGCAAAAAGCCATAGTTTGGTTTTGCTCTGCAGCAATTCGCCCAAAACCCAGAGTCACTTCTTGTTCTGCCACGCAGCACTACCCAGAGTGGCTCAGACGTACCCAGGGAAAGCAGAGCTGGTCCTGCCAGGGCTTGCTGTGAATCTGGCAAAATCCACCACCTTCCCTGACACAGGTGTCGGGACTTCAAGACTCTTTGACCCCAATAAAAGCACACCCTGGTGATGCCTCTGCCCAGCTGCACCGTGAGCCTGCAGCCTGCCACAGCCAATGGCACCAGTGTCCTGGGTTGTAATGTGGGATAAGACCATGCAGGGAAGCAGGAGTGCAACAGAGATCCTCCCTGGGGAGGGGAAGAGTGCGGAGGAGCAGATCATCACCTATCTCAGGGGGTCTTGAACTCTGTCTCTGCCAGGGACGACCTGATTTGTGAAGGGTGGTGTCTCCACTGCTCCCACCTGCAGCTCCTGAGTAGCCGAGCAGGTGTTTATACTTCTGGGGATGAAAATCCAGGCCCTGGAGCAGTGAAAAGGGGCTGCAACTCCAGCTTTACCCTAAGTCTGTGGCAGGACATCAGCAAGTCCCAGGACACCCCCTTCCTTGCAGAGCTGCTGCTCTGTCCAGGCAGGAGCTGCCCTCATTGTACCACCCCAGCACCAGGGACCTGCCCAGGCTGGAAGGTCCCTCCCATGCTGGGCAGGTTCTCCACAACTCATCACCTTTTCAGCCAGAAAATCCATCTTGGGCTTAAGGGGGCTTTTGAAGGGAGCAGTTGAGGCTGGCAAAACATCTCCAGTGTGGTAAGGCACCTCTTCCAGCAAACTCTCCACTCCCCTGGGGGCTGAGGTGGCAAAAGATTCTCTGCCTGCAAAGATCCTCCAAAGCAGGGTGAGATCCTGCAGTGTGATGGCTTTGTGGGGGGCTGTTAGGTGACTGAGTGGCCTGCAAAGATGAGATGGCTGGCTCGGTGGATGAGGGCAGAGCAGAGGATGTTGTTTACTTTGCCTTTACTAAGGCTCTTGTAACATCCTCAAAGGCAAACTGATGAAATATGGATTAGATAAACGGCCGTGAGGGGGATGAAGAAGTGGTTGGGTTTGGAGGGTTGTGACCCATGGCACAAAGTCCAGCCTGAGGTAGGTCGCCGGTGGGGCACCCCAGGGATGGATACTGGAGCCAAAACTGTCAAATCTCTTAATGACCTGGGTGATGGAACAAAGTGCGCCCTCAGCAAGTTTGCAGGTGACACAAAGCTGATACTCCAGAGGGATCTCAGGAGGCTGGAGAAAAGGGCTGACACCTCATGGGGTTCAACAAGGAGAAGTGCAAAGTCCTGTCTCTGGGAAGGAACACCTCCAGGCACCAGTATACCCTGGTATCCACCAGCTGGGAAGCAGTTTGGCATAAAAGGACCTGGGGGTCCTGGTGGACATCAAACTGGACACAAGGTACCTTTTCCACAAAGAATGCCAACAGGCTCCTGGTCTGAATTAGGAGAAGCATTGCCAGCAGGTCAAGGGATGTGACCCTTCCCCTCTGCTCAGCGCTGCTGAGGCCACTCCTGGATTCCTGGGTCCAGTTCTGGCCTCCCCAGTATGGACATACTGGAGGGAATCCAGCAAAGGGCCACAAAGATGATGAAGGGACTGGAGCATCTCTCCTGGGAGGAGATCCTGATCTGTTTATCCTGGAGAAGAGATGACTCGGGGGGATCTTATCCACATGTCCGTGTGGAGCAAAGCAGATGGAGCCCTACTGTTCTCAGTGATGGAGAGTGACAGGACAAGAGGCAATGCGAAATTCTATTTAAACACCAGATAAAACCTTATTGCTGAACACTGAAACAGGTTGGTCAGAGAGTTTGTGGAGTCTCCATCCCTGAGGATACTCAAACCCCATCTGGACATGGTCCTGGGCAGCCTTCCCAGCTGCCTCTGCTTTGAGCAGGGGCTGGACTGGTTGATCTCCAGGGGTGCCTCAGCTCCTCGCTGATCCGTGTTAATCCAAGCGCTGCAGGACTGGCATGGGCAGAGCGCTTTGGGCACTACAGAGCCCACAGTCCAGCCACCTCTCTGCTCATGTGCTGCCCTTTGGCAGCCTTCGATGAACACCCGACACTTAACAACACGAGCATGCTTTGGAGCCTGCCTGTTCTTTGTTGGTCTTTTTTTTTTTTTTTTTTCCAGAATTGCATAATACTAGGCAAACGTTGTGTCTCTTGCTATGCAGACTCGCAGGGAAAATCCCTCCCGTAGTTCAGATAAATAGTTCTTCCCTTTGTGGCTATGCCACTTGGCACATTTTAGTTTCCTTTTGATTTGATGAAATCGAAAATGAGCACTGAGTCAGAGCCCAACACACTTGGCTACAATAGGAACGATATCCCATTCTTTTTTTTTTTTAATTCCCTTTGGCTATTTCACTTTCGTGACATCCTCTGTCATCATTCTGGAATTTCCACTCATGCTAATGGTCTCCCGGCTGCTTCCAGGACTCCCTGTTAAAAGGGAGCTGAATCCGGCTGCTTCACTCTGAGCTGCGTCTTCCAGAGCTTCAGGTCCTGCTCCGACTGCCCTCACCTGACGGGAAGATGAAGGTCTCTGCAGCTGGTTTTGCTCTTCTCCTCATTGCAGCCTCTTGCTCCCAAACTTCCTCTGGTCCAGGTGAGTCCTGCTTTTTCATTCGTGAAAGAAGAACGGATCTGAGCTTTCGGTATCATTTCTGCATGGAGCTTCCCTGGCAGATAACTGGGAGTTTTTCAGCACTTGTACCGCTCTCCACTCGGATCAGCTACATGTAGGAACCCCAGAATTAGAAAATAATCCATCTGCCCATCCATCCATCCTGAGCTCAGAGTACTTATTCCTGGTTATAGTTTAGGCACTCCAGTGTCTGCCCTGGGGCTGGGGAAAGTGGGGAAACAGGGCTCTGAGCAACAACTGGATGGGAATCTCTCCCAGTACCTGGCAGTACTGTTCCTTGCACTGGACCAGATGGTCCCCAGTGCCCATTTCAACCTTAATTATCCTCTTCTCCCTCACTCCCTTTCCCACCAGCAGCTGACAGGCTGGCTGCTCTGAATGCACAGCCCAGCACGTGCTCACAATGTCTCTCCTTGCCTTTTCCAGTTGGATCCGACCTCCCGATCTGCTGCTTCTCTTACACGCAGCACAAGCTCCCGCAGAAGCTCATCCTGCGTTACTACAGCACCAGCACCAGCTGCACTCTGCCGGCCATCGTGTGAGTACCAGCGCTGCCTCCCGCGCGCAGAAGAGCTGGGGCAGTGTGGGGTGCGCACGCGTGAGTGACCGGCTCTGCAGCCTGGCAGTGGGAATGGGAAGGGGGGACGGTCTGTAGGAACAGAGCAGTGTGAGGGGATACACGAGGGGAAAGGGCTTGCACAGCGACTGCCAGGGATTTCTTTGTGGGGACGCTCTGGGATGTTCCTGCATCCCGGAGGCAGTGTGGGAAAAGGGATAGGAGTGTGGGAAATCACAGTCAGCAGCTGGTTTCAGCATCCCCTTAGAGCACAAGGAAGCACCTTTTGCCATGTCTCCAAGCTGGGATCCAGGTTCTCCTGGGATGCAGGTCTGAGCAGAGGTCTAATCTCATCCCTGTTCCACAGGTTCATCACAAAGAAAGGCCGCCAGGTCTGTGCCAACCCCAGCGACACCTGGGTTCAAAGTTACCTGCAAAACTTGAAGCAGAACTGAGGGAAGCAAGATGGCAAGCGTAGCCGCTGTCGTGCATAAGTCACGTTATCCTGCGCTGGAGCAGGACGCTGGGGCAACTGGAGCTGCACGAGCCTGCATTATCTGCAGGCAGCTCCAAGGGGCTGCTGGAAGGGCACCACAAGGCACATCGTGTTGGGGTGCTGCTACTTGACCTTGGCTTGCAGTCTGACCTCGGACCAGTCTGCAACCTCATCCCTCTGCCCTGACACCTCCGCCTGGGGCCTGGGAAGGCCCATGGGACTGCACCTCTATTGTTCTTATTTTATATTATTTAAGAAATTACTGTATGGGGTAGGTAGTACTTTCTTCTGTGGATAATAATGCTGCACATGGGAGGGTATTTATTGGAGGATAGCTGAGAGTCTCAGTGTTGGATGATGGGTGGCACTGGCTTATGTGTGTGAAATCATGATTCTGGAGAATAAAGAATTTGGACAAAACCTCCGGGTTTTTTTCCTGTTATGTGCCTCTGGGTGGTGTTCACCAGCACAGAGACAGGACCTCACCCTAGTTTATCTGTGCACACTGCATGGCACATGATGATGGGAAATGGTTTGAGGCAAGACCATAAAGTTTCCATACTGCAGACATATGAATATCCTCTGACACCTCATTCCCCACCACACACACCCCCGCCTCCCACATCCTCTACAGAATTAGACATGTTTCTATGCACATATGGGGCTTTTACATACATGAATGTGCTCCCTACACACCCAGGAACATCCCATGTTCTTGGTTGTCGTTCCCAGCCCCACACACTGCACTCTGAATTGGTCCCTGGGCACACTGCATGTGCAATGGGGTGGTGATGGGACACGTTGCTGTAAGGGGTAAAATCCTGCTAGAGGCTTTGGTGGCGGGAGCAGGGAGAGCGGCTCGTGGCTGGGTGAGAGGAAGCAGAGGGCATGGAGCTGCCACGGTGCTGGGGCTGCCCTGGGAGCTGGTAGGTACCCGGGGCTCATGAGCTACCTGTCTGTCCTTGTGCCAAGGGTGCTGGGGTGCTGAGCAGGGCCAATTCTCTGCCTGTACCCACCCATGCTAGCTGTTTCTGCTAGCTAAGTAGCAGCGTTTCCCAGCACAGAGCCCACAGGCACCCACATGCACACTGTCAGTGTCCTTGTGGCATCTCTCCTCCCACATATCTGTACCTCGGAGACATCGCCGCGTCTCTGCCCACCAGCCCTTGTGTGCAGCTGGGTCCTGCCGAGCCTGGCAGTGCTGCCTGGAGAGCAGCAGGGACCCCAGTTTTCCTTCTGAGCACCCCAATGGGGGTTGTTCCTCACTTTCCCACCTGTAAAACAAAGGAAAGGGTATTACCCCTATGCTGCAGGGGTAAAACAGCCACCAGCAAACCTACTGCAGTCATTCCCAGGATGAGGCTTTGCATGGGAAGGGAATGGGAGGGAGCAGGTCCCAAGGGTAAAAGCGCAGTGCTGGGTACAGCTTGCCCATTGCACACTGAGAAATGCCCCCAACAGCATGGTCACCCAGAGCTGTCCTGGCCTTGCAGCCACTCAGTTCCAGTCAGCATTTTTTCTTCCTAATGCAAAAAAAAAGCTTTTCTCTTATTGTTTCATTTTTATTTTCCCTGCAGCTATAAATCAGACTTGGCAACCCTGAGGCTGGGAAAGCACCTCCACGTTGTCTTGTCATTTCCCTCTAGTCTTGTGTTTTCCAGGATGGAGAGCTGGCTGCAGGCAGGAGGCCCCATGGGGCACCCAAGGAGCAGCATCCCAGCAAAGGGCAGACCCAGCCCAGGCACCCTGTTGTGTCCCAGGAGATGGTGCTGCTGATGAGGGACCATGTGAAGGGCTCCTTTCCAGCTCCATGGGGCTGGCTCCTGACTGCTCTGCTGGGAGGATGATTTGGGAAAGGCACAAGCTCTCGCTCACCCCGGCAGTGTGCCCATGCTCCCCTGGCACAGCAGGGTCCTAGCAGAGGGGGTCTGGTCCAAGCAGGTCAGCATGTTTGCAAAAATCTTGTCCCACTCTATGGCCAGGACATTCAGGCTATTATCATTGTGGGGGAGACACAAAAATCTGTGGAATTTTGTATCCTGAACAGGGCTTCCTCACTGTGCCGTGAAACATGGGAGAAGGGAGCGGCCACCGCATGGTGGGGTGGATGGACAGGAGCTGCTGCCCGTGGGTGGGCAGGCGAGGACCCCGGGAATGCTGGGGTTCTCCTCTACACCTGAGGGAATGCTGCATGCTCCATGTCCTTTTGCGCTGAGAAGCCGAGTTTGGTGCTGTGGAGGAACTGCAGGAGCCCAAAATAGTCCCTGATCTGGGCGGTGTGAGGGGATGGAGGATGGATGTCATGGTGAAAGGGCAGGCTGGGGTGGGTCTGAGGTTTGCCCCAGGCCCAGGGTGCAGGGACAGGCTGGAGAGGCAGGAGGACTCGGCGCTGCAGCCAGCCCTTCCCCAGACAGCCCCTGGCTGGGAGCCCAGGCGTATGTGGGAATTTCCCTCCCCAGCCTTTCTGGTTTCGGTTTCCTTCCCGAAGCCCCAGGAGCCCTGCTCCCCCTCTATCCCAGAGCTATGTCCCCTGGCACAAGCCAGGCGCTGTGAGGGCAGGTCCCTCTGCCTGGGGACCGTGGCAGCCCGCTGGCCCATGAGGATGGGACTGGGGGAGGTGGCAGCACCATGGTGAGGGTCTCTAAGAGCAAAGGAGAAATCGTAGCCCCAGGGGTGATGTGTGCAGGCAGCAGCCTGCTCGAAGCCCCTCGCCTGTTGCCAGCTCTGGGCAGGGGAGGGTACCCCGGAGGGGACACTTGGACAAGCCAGGAGACCTGCTGTGGGGAGAGACATTCCTGAATCCCGAGGATGTATCAGCTGCTCCCACAGCCCTGTGTTGAGGCTTGGGGCAGCACCAGCCCTTTCTTGCCAGCTGCACAGACATCTGCAAGAGGATGAGAGGCCGTTCCTGGTACCCCATGGGTTGCAGCATGGCAGAGAAAATGCTCCCAGGTGAGGAGTTTGGTGTGCAGCAGCAAAATACACAGAAGGTGCCTGCCCCAGGAGACAGAAACCACACGCTCTGCAGTGGCTACCACAGTCTGTGGTCCTTCTCCCTGCCTCTGGGAGCCAGCAGCAAGTTGAGGCAGAGCCAGGGGTCTGGCCTAGAGACCTTCTCTGGTTTCTCAGCATCTCTCCTTGGCTGGCTGCCTCTACACCAGACAACGGTCACAAAAACGACATTTCCCAGCCCTGGTGTGATATTTCCCAGCCCTGCTGTGACATTTCCCAGCCCTGGTGCAGCTCTGCAGTGGTGCATCCCTTCCTCACCACAAAGGTTTCCTGGTCCTCCCCACTTCCCAGCTTCATCACCAAGTATGCGCTGACCCTGACACTGGGTGAAGGCATCTGTGAGCTTGTTGGGGACACACTGAGGTAGCCACCCCCTACCTGGTGCCCCAGTGCTCCCCCTCCTCTCTGGGGACCCTTGTCCTGGGCACTGAGAGCCTCCCCAGTGCCCTTGGGCTCTGCAAGGTTTCTGCACTCCTTCTCTGTACTGATGCAGGCAGCCTCTTCTGGGAATACAGTCCCAGGCTGTGGAGAGTCCCAGGAGTGGTGGGTGAGAGCTGTGGCCTCAGCTCCTGCCAGAAATAGAGACTTTGAGGCAGTTAATAAGGAACTGCAATAGGAAATGCTGGTTAATAAACAGGAAGACCCGTGGAGAGGTGGTGAGACCAAGGGGAGATCAGGAGGCAGCTGGAACTTTTACAGACCACTGTGGCACCAATGGGCATGGGGGTATTTTACCGACACTATATCTCCTGCTCCTAATTGTGGGGGATCATTTTCTGCTATCAGTGAGTGGGGAGGCTGAGAAATTACTCCCAGGGGTGATGAGTAGCTTGTTCCATAGTGGAAAATATCCTGAGAGGTGAAGATTTGACATGCACAAGCTGCCAGGTGGGGACACTCTTGGCTAAGGGGGAATACAGACACTTCTGAGCTTTTGCTGCAGACCGCTCTGATGAAGACAGCCTGGAGAGCACAGGTCCCTGTCCCCACCCCGCAGAGCTTCAGTGGCAGGGAGATCAGACCCAGCAGTTCCACTCTCTGCCCACAAAGATTTCCGGTACTTTTAAAGAGAAACCATATGCTGATAAAGTGCTTTTGTCGGTTTTACTTGGTGCAAAAAGATCTCTTGTGCTTTTTTAAACCAAATTCAGCTTTCCTTCCCAAAACAGCTGAAGAACAGCAGATAATTGGTGCCTGTCTTTCAGAGTAGAACACTAACAGAGCATACCCAGAGCTGAGCACAGCTCAGGCTGCATCCCCAGAGGAGCCTGTGCTGGGGACACGGTCCCAGCTGGGCAGCCCCGGGGCTTGAGCTCACCCCAGAGGTGCTGCTGCACCCCCACCCTGTGATTTCCAGACATCCCTTTGCCAAACATGCAGTGGCAAATCCAGTGGGTCCAGCTCCACCAGCTCCTGGTCCTGGCTACTGATATGATGGGGGGGAAAGGGCTGGGGGAGAGATCTGGCTCTGGAGCAGCGCAGAGCCTGGGAGGGAACATCCCTGGGAGGTGTTGGAGTTGTGATGGGGTGCTGGGAGCAGGGAGGCAATGCAGAAAGGGAGGTTTTTAGGGCTAAAGAGGCTGAGGCATTTCAAGCTGGGAAGTTGGGGTTCTTCCCCTGCATCTCCCAAAATAGTTGCAGTGGGGTCCTGTCGGCCCCGCTTTTCCAGGCAGGAGGGCAACAGCCTGTTCCAGAGCAGACACAGAGAGAAAAAAATCTTTATTCTTTGGCACGAGCAAGAGACAGCGTTTTGAGAACACGGCTGAGTAATGTGGTTCCACAACGAGCATCCTGTAAGTAACCAGCGTACCCCATCCTCTGCTAAGGAGACGATCTTACTCACAGCCTCTACTGTACGATGGCCAAATTCAGCCAGCTGACTTGAAAGTCAGCCTGGGTTTACATGACAGCATTCCTACCTAATTTTGACAGGCCACTTCCCACAAATAGCTCTGGGGATGAAATCCCCCTCCCATTCTAGCGGCGGAGGCACAAGGAGGGGACAGTTGAGCCCCATGTCACACAGCAGGCTATGCCAAGACAGGTATGCAAGGCCAGGAGGTCCCCAGCATCATAGCTGCCTGTAAGGGTGGGCAAATTATCGTGGATAATGAACCTTTGCAAGGCAAAAGGAACTTCAGGGGCCCCGGGGTGGCTCAGCAGGTCCTGGCACTCAGCAGCAGGATTTCTAGGTCTGTGCCAAGACTCTGCCAGATGGTCTTGCAGGACTTCTTCAGGGCAGAGACCTCTCAGCTTCCGGTGCTCACTGAAGCTCCAGGGTGTTCACGTATTCCTTCACCCACCTGGCATCAGGGTTAGCACAGACCTCCCGGTCCTTCCTGGTGATGAACCTGTCAAGTCAGGCGGGGAGATGTTACAGCCCCGGCAGGGGAGAGGGACATGAGGGCCTTGGGTCACCTCTTGGGCACACACTGACCTGCCCTGTGATCAGCGCTAGCCCCCAAGGACACAGTCTCCCCTCCAGGCTCCCACCCCACAAACCCCCAAGCATCAGGGGACTGCAGAACTGGCTAAAACCCAGAAGGCAGGGTGAGATCAAGGTCCCCTGGGAGAATTCCCTCCCAATACTCAGATGTTCCTGGCCGTGCTCAGTGTGGTGGTTGCCCTATGTGGGTGGCAGCATGGCAGCTCCAAGCCTTGCAGGTGGCACGTCACATGTATTGGGCTCATCACCACTGACAGGTCCTGCTGGCTGCACTGACACCTCCTTCCCACACCTTATTCCCATCACCAGGATGGGTCAAGGAGACCAAGGAGACAACTTATCTCTCAGCTGAGGAGGATGAATGCTCACGTGCTGCACATGGGAGCCGTGGTCTCTGCCTCCTTCCCTGACTCCTGGTGTGGTTCCTCACACCACCATGCTCTTGGCTCCAGTGGATGCGAAGAGCCCAAAAGCTGGCAGAGCCTTTCCCCAGAGCAGGAGCTGGTACTTACACAACTGCTGGCTGTGAGCACTTGCTGCTGGTGTAGAAATAATCCTTCACATGACTCTGGGGCAGCTTTCGTAAGGTGTAGCTGAAGCAGCACACAGTTGTGTCAGCCCCAACTGGAAGAGATCAGGGAGGTCATCATGAGTCTGTCACTCAATAAACTGCACTTTCCCCAGCCAAGAGCATGGTCAACCATCCCCTTAATGAGCTGCAAGGCCCTCTTCTCTTCCTGTTTCCCCAGAAAATCAGCAAGAAGTTGCTGTGAACACTAAAGCTTAACTAAACAGATTGCTTTGTTAAATGTTTTGCAGTCTATTGCAATGATACAAATCCTTTCTGTAACCCTGGAACCACTCCTAAAGTCCAGCAATGAGATCATGGGAGATGAGACCTGAAAACTTTGATACTTATCGGTAAAATTCATCACTAAAATAAAAGGATGTTAGAAAGGAAGACCAGTCCCAAGAAAGCAGGAGAAGTTATTCAAACAGGTTTCCAACTTTTCTAACTTTTACAAGTTCTGCATCAAAATTACTGCCATTCAGAGCAAAAAACCCACCCTAAGAGAGCAGAGGGAGAAGCTGTACTCACTTGGAGCCGGAGAGGCCTGAGGAAAGAGGGCAGCGATGAGGATGATGGAGAGGCACACTGCAGAGACGTTCATTATGGACAGGGATGAGCTGCTGAGGCAGGACCAGAGCAGATTCCTCCTGTGTCTGATGCGAGGTGCTGTCTCAGTCCTCGCCTTTTATAGGGACGGTGGCCAGCCCCGTCAGTCCGCTTTCAAGGCAAAAACTTGGGGTTTCCAAAGCGCAATAGAGCTGATGTCATGGCACCTTTGCCTCAGAATTGCTGAAAAAAAAAAAAAGGAAGCAATAGGCCTAGGAAATACTAAAATAGCCTTTGTGTGAGGTGAGCTAAGCCTGAGCAAATCAGCACCCGCACGGGGGCTATACTGACCAAGGCAGGATGTGAAACTACCCCTGAGCAGCAGGTTCACACTTAGATTCACCAACACGACAGCAGTACTCGTCACACATCTCAGCCTCCTTCGTGACATCCCAGGAGGAGCTCAAAGGTGCTCAGACCCTCAAAACGTCTTGGGTCCAGCCAGAGGGTCCTCGCTCCCATGGCGGGGCTGGGACATGCACAAGGTGGATGCAGGGAGGCAGCAGGTATGGAGCAGGAGCTCCACTGCCTGTGCAGGCAGCAAGGATGGTTGGCATCCTGGAGACTGATAGTAGATCTGGGCTGGCAGTCTCGGCACCATAAAACACAAAATCCTTAATGCTGTGCTTCTAGTATGGAACTCTCCTAACACACCCCAGCATCAGCCAGCAAGGGGAGCACTTGCCTGGGAAGCCGGACTTGACAATCTGACTACAAACACTGTTTTCTCCCAGAGACATGGGGCAAACACAAATGCCAGCATGGTTTTGGTACAAGGTGGGATGCAGCAGGAGGTTCCCATGTCTGGGGAGTGGAGGGGGACCAGCTCTTGTGCAAACACATACCCCCATCTCCTTGTGCACACTCACAATCACGGGACTCAAGATGTGGTCTGCCCAGAGCCCCCTGGCTCTGTCCTTGCCACAAGGCGATGCACTCTCTGGGATGCCCCAGGGAGCATTTCCCCTTTTTCCACATCCCTCGTCTCTGCAAGAGGCACCAAATTTGCCAGCTCACAGCCTGTGGTTTCTCTGGGTATTTTCACTCCCGGTTCCCAGTGACAACTGCTGTTCACGAGACACTATGAGCTCGTCTCCCTGGGATTTCCTCGCTGCCCCGCAGCCTCAGTCGTTACAGCGGGTCCGCAGGAGAGCGCTGCTCTGCTCCCACTCTCCTTCTCCCCCACCATGCTGCATGGGGCTGCGTGGGGCCCTCAGAGACCTCCTTGTGTCTGGGTGTATTGGGGGGTGCTTCCCCACAGTGTCCCTTTTACCGCAATGTCCCCACCCCACGAGTGGAGACCAGTGCTGCAAGAGGGTCCCCTGGGGCTGTGCCAGGGACACTGCTGGGGTGGGCAAGAGTCCATGGCTTTCCCAACTCATCCTCCTAGGAGCCATCCTCATGGGGGTGGGGGTGTTCTGGGGACCCTGAGGACTCCTGTCTTTAAAAGCACATGAAGGACCAGGAGCTGAACCAAGTTACTGACACCACGGGGTTGTCACAAACACGCCGTGGTGGCATTTTGGGGCAGCACAGCAACATGCTAGCAGGTGCTTCGGCTTTGCAAGGGGCAAAATCTCAGCTGGAAATTCCCAAGAGACATCCCACTCTCAGAGATGAGGAGAGGGATTATTTATTTCTACTCCCGTATTGCATGTATTCCAGTATTGCAATTAGCCTAATTTATGTAAGTATTGCACACGCCACAGATCCCTGTCAGGGTGCGAAGCAAGGTGATGTCTCTCAGCCGCTACAATAGCAACTGCATTTTGTACCGAGCCTTGACCTGTCCCTGCTGCTCCAAGGCTGATCCTGGGGCTGGGATTTCTCTTTTGATGGAGCAGTGGCTGTAGAAATTAAATTTTTACATCCTCACCCCATGGCTCTGCACGCTCCTGGGCTCCAACATGCAGCTGCTGGGCTGCAATTGCTTCCTTGTTGAATGTGGTGGGTGGCAGTCACTCATCTCCCCTTCCTCTGCCATCAGAGAGGGAGATTGTCCTGCTATGGAACATGCCAGTGAACCTGTTCTGATGTGCCCACATCTGCTGGCAGAGGAAGGAACTGTGACCGTCTGTGACAACATATCTGACAGCCCCAGATAGAGATCTAAGAAACCACACAGCGATACTGACGCTCCCCCAACCGCAAGCCTGCCAAAGCTCGCGCTGTGCTAGAGCTTGTAGAGGCAATCGAAACCATGAAATCTGCATATCCCTCTGACAGTGCAGGGTGGCTGCGCCTCAGCCCAGCTCAGCTCCCGATGTGCCCAAGGGGTGCTGCAACCCTGTATAACCATTGCACAGCCCAGCCTTGCCCCTCACTCAGCTTTTGGGGTGTATTCTGCAGCCCTGACCATCCCGGCAAAGATGCCAGAGTGCTGGAAGGATGCCAGATCATTCATCGTGGCTCCATCCTGGCTCTGGGATAGCTCTTGTGGGGGGGTGACACTCCTCCCTGCTCTCCTCCTCGTCCTACTCTGCACCCCTCCAAAGCTACCCACCACCTCCCTGTGCCTCTCCTGCTCACTGCTGGCAGAATGCTCATGGATGAGCACAGCATCCAGCGCTCATCCTCCCCGGAGGCAGTTGCGGTGGTCTGTCCTGCCCCGTAGCAGGGTTGCTGGGTCGCAACAACCTGCGGAGTAGGGGGCCCATTCCATCCCCTCTCCATCTTCCTATTTGGCAGAAATACTCTTCTAGGAGGTGAATGCGAGTGGTGGGGGAGAATTCTGGTTTTGGTGTTGCCCCGGTATGACAGCCTCTTTTTAAAATGTGTTTTTTTTAAGTGAAATGTGTTCTTAAGTCTTGTTTTCTTAAGTGGAATGTATGGGGCCAAAGAAACCGGCTGTGTGCAGTATGCAGGACAGGGGTGGGGGGATCACAAGCATCACTGCTGCAGGATGCCCAGCAATGCCAGCACAGCTCCCCGAGCACGCTGGCTAACAAGGGCCTGCTTCTTTCTGTGCTCTCTGGAAACTGGGATGACCTACCCTTGGCAGCTCCAGGTGAAGTCTCCAAAGATGGCCCCAACTGGCTGTTTTCTCCTAGAAAAACGAGATGTAAATGTTACTGTAAACCAGCAGGAACGGGGACTCCAGGCACACCCCCTCTACCAGCACAAGGTCTCAGACCCCTGTTACCCCCCGCAGCGGGGAAGGCTCCGCTGACAACAGTCAGCCTGCACCTCCACGGTTCTGCTTCTCCCGAGGTGACTATGGGGAAGCCCTGGCTGTGCACTGGGTTGTTGTGTCCATGAAGCTGGATCTCCTGTGCCCAGTGGGATGTGTGTCCCACGAGCCTATGGCAGCACAAATGAGGGCCACGCTCCAGCATCAGCAGGACTGAACCTCCCTGGTGAATCCCCAGGGGACCACTAAGCATTTTCTTGAACTTCTGGCCATCATTGCCTTCCACAAAACTGCCTTTGGTGGGGAGCAGCGTCCTGGCATAGCCACCTCCTGCTTCCCAGGCCTGGAAGAGACGGGGTCCTCTTGCTCAGAGGGTCTTCCCAATGCCACAGCTCTCGGAAAGTTGGCATCCCTGCAAAGTCCTCCAGAAAGGCTGCAGCATCCATCCCATCTGGTCCTCTCCTTGGGCTGTGGGGCCCAACTGTCCCTGTATCTTCGGGGTTTGGTTGGCGGCCACCAGCAGGTCCCCCGGCAGCACCCCTCATCCCTGGTGGTCTAGTGGTCAGGATTCGGCACTCTCACTGCCGCGGCCTGGGTTCGATTCCCAGCCAGGGAGGGGGGTCCGTGCAGCCCCTGCATGTCCCAGCCTTTTTCTGGGTGGCTGCACTAGCCTCGAGCAGCTCCTGGAATGGGGTTCAGGAGCTCCCACACCCAATGCATGGGGCTGGGTCAGGGTTGAATGAATTTTGGGGCCAACAGCAGCCTCCTGGCCCCATACTGCCACCAGGCTGCACCCCCCCAGCAGAAAAATACCCCCGGTGGAGGGCAGCCACCTGGGCTGGGCTGTAGGGAGCAGGGTGACAAGGAATAAGGAGCAGGGTGACCCAGATCTGTGGGGTGGACATGCAGGATTTCTTCTTGTGATGAGGAGAAGTGCAGGGGTGCTCCCCCAAACACCGTGTCTTGGCCCTCTCCTAAAGGTAAGGGGTCCCTGGGAGATCGAGGCGGGGTCCCCTTAAAGAGGGGTGACAGGTCTGTGTCCCTCTGTCCCTCCTGGGGACAGGAGGGCAGGGGCTGCCAGTAAAAGCTCCCGCTGTGAGCAGGATTTGAACCTGCGCGGGTAAACCCCATTGGATTTCAAGTCCAACGCCTTCACCGCTCGGCCACCACAGCAGCTGGCACAGAGGGTCTCCACAGGAGCCCGCGGCTGTCACCCTGTCCCAGGGGCCGTGACGGGACCCGATCCCACCCTGGACATGGGTTCTGCCATCCTGGCCCTCCTGCACACCGCTGTTACCGCTGTCACCCGCCCCGCCTGGAGCTACTACGGGAACAGCGTCTCGGCAGTGCTGGGAAAGGGCACTGGGCACCACTCACAGCGTCAGTGGTGGTGACACGGGAGAGGGAGGGAGGTGCGAGGTCTGCGTCACATCTTGTCTCCTTGCATCCAATGGGAAACTTGCCCCTGGATGACCGTCCCCAACCCCTTTGAGGGTGAAGTGCTGTGCATTTGGTGTCTGAAGAGCTCTGCTGAGGTTTCATTTCAGGGTAAGGGTTCAGACATCCTTCAGATGGCAAGTGGAGGCACCAGCCGAGGGTGCGTAGATTTGCACATTACTGGAGCCCAAAAGGAGGGGTGTGGGGGAGTCCACAGTGCATATAGAAAGGACAGGGGTGGGGAGCAGTCCAGGCCCCAGTGGAGTGACCAGAGAGGACCAGAGGGATCTTTAAGAGCCGTGGTACCCAAACAGAGGAGCTTGGAGGGGACGAGGTCTTGAAAGAGATGTCTGAAGGGGTTAAGAAGGGCAAAAGGTGTGGTCTGGAGAGTTCCTGGAGGAGACCCTATCCCCCGCTGGTTCTTGCAG